TTCAGGTTCTCCAGGATCACACCTTGGGCTGCAGGCGGCGCTAAACCGCTGCACCACCAGGGCTGCCCCTAGGCAGGAGGAAGACTAAAGCCAAAGACTCTTAGGTGGCAAGGGGCTCCACGCACTCAAGGTACAGGAAGATTACCATATGACTTAAGAGAAGTGAACGGGCAGGTAAAAGGTAAGAGACAAAGCTGGAGAGTTAGACAGGGGCTGGCTCAGAAGAACCTTGAAACCATATTTACAAGCAGGCTGTCCTGTGGAGAATGGATTGCAGGGGGCAAGGAACGGCAGTAAGGAGACCAGAGAGGAGGTAGTTAGGGAGAAAATGGGTGACCACGCAATCTGTTGTCCAAACCAGGACACTTGTGCAGGTGAATGGGGGGGGATGCTACAAACTATCAGTTACAACTGGCAGAGCCAGGACTGGCCATTGATAGAACTCTACCTGCAATCAGCCAGCTCCAGCCAGGATTACCACAGGAAGTCTAGCAGTTTTTAACAGTTCTGCTCTGAAACACAGAGCTCCCAACCCTAGGAGAAAGAATCACTTTTCTATTTGGTCCCAGGCTCCTGGCCTGGTGCCCCATGCCTGAGCATTTGGTTTTTGTCTAGAGGCCATGGGTTACAGTTGCAGCACATACATGGAGTGTGCCCTTTTCCCTGTGCGCTCTGGTGCACTCTGGGCGACAACCAACAGTACACAGATGAAAGAACAAACAGGGGAGAGGGGCGGCTGGGTGGCTCAGTTGGTTAAATGTCCAACTCTTGATCTCAGGGTCGTGAGTATGGAGGATGAGGGTCCCACAATGGGCATGGAGACTACTTAAAACAAACGAGAAGAGAAGAGAAGAGAAGAGAAGAGAAGAGAAGAGAAGAGAGGAAGGAAGAGAGAAAAGAAAAGAAAAGAAAAGAAAAAAGAAAAAAGAAGAAAAAAAAAGAAAAAGAAAGAAAAGAAAAGAAAGAAAAGAAAAGAAAAGAAAAGAAAAGAAAAGAAAAGAAAAGAAAAGAAAAGAAAAATAGGGAGATGTGGCCACCCCTTCTGGAGGTGGTATCCAGAGGGTAGAAGCCAGAGAGGGATGGGCAAACTCAAAGTCGCAGAACAGGGATTCTTAACTTGGCCCACAGGGGGATCTGTGAAGCAAGCGAGAGGGCCATAAGCCTTCACCCAGATTCTCAAACCTAAGACTCGAAAAGACATACAGAACCTTGCTTCAGAGAGCAGTGGCTCTCACACTTCCATGCACGTGCCTTAGGGTCACCTGGTGGGCTTGTTACAACAGGGATAGCTGGGTCCCTGAAGAGCAAGGTGGAGGTTCTGATTCAGTTCATTCCGGAGTTAGGCCCAGGAATTTGCATTCCTAACAATTTTTAAGGGAATGCTCAATGCTCTTGATCCAGGAGCCACATTGTAAGAATCACTGCTACAGAGGATACAAAACACATGAAGAGTTCCAGTTTAAATGATGAACTTCTTTTCAGACAAGAGTTCTAATACATGCCACAGCCATCTAAACCACCCCAAGTCCCTGGGAATTTCATATTTTATTTTTGGAAGAGGCCCTTGGAGAGTGACAGACTCTGGACCTCCCCTTGGAGTTCAGGAAGCATCTGGAAAATAGCATTTTTAGAGGATGCAGGAAAGTGCCTTCAGAAACATAAAAGCCCTAAGCGTAACTCTGAGCTAGAAACTACAGGACTAGGCCTGGCTGATCCAATTACTAGGCCAATACTGGTGAACAGTGAGGTTTTGGGAATCTGGGCAGACCCGGATCCTTTCCTAAAGGCTGCCTCCTGATCCTTTATGAGCCTATATCTGAACCCAGATGGGCCCAGATAGGCAGTGTGCTGTGAGCAGGACAGGGTGTCTTTTGGGGGCCAGCCTCAGGGACATAGAAAGAAACCAACAACTCCATTAGACGGAATTCAGGGGCTCCATTCACAGAGCTCTTCGGTCAAGTCATTGTGGTGAGGGTGGCAAGAAGCAAGAGTAATATTTAGGGCTGTGCAAGAGCGGTGGAGAGGCCTGGAAGGGCTATTGCCAGCTTTCCTCAGCCCTGCTCTGAGTAAGTCACTCCCCCATAAAAGAAGATGGGGGGGGGCTAGGGGGTCGGAGGGTGGATGGAAATGTGAATTCATTAATGAATCAACTGTCAGAACAGGAAGTGTGGCTTTTGAGCTCTATAGGGAACATAAGCTTTGCCATCCAGCTAAATACATCCTGAGGTGAGGCAATGTCAAAGTTAGGGGGACTCTACATGTTAGGAGAGGAGGCGGAACCTTATAGGGTAGACAACACGCTAGAATGACTGAGACCAAGGGTGTGCTCTGGCATCAGCCTGGCAGAATTTGTGACTTGAATTCTGACTGTGTGGCCCTGGGCATGTTACTTAATCTCTCTGTGCCCTCAGTTTCCCTCTTCTGTAAGATGGGGGTAAATAGTACCTATCGCATAGTGTTGTAGTAAGAATTAAATAAAATAGCCTTGATAAAACACTTGGTTTGGTGCCTTGCATATTTTAAGAATTCAATGTTAGTTTAAAAAATAAAAAACAGTAGTGGGCTTGGAACAATTTAAGATGGTAGCAGTCAAGACCCACCCTTAGTGTCACTGCCAGGGACACAAAAAGTGGAAGTAGGTTAGACCCGCTGCCAATCTTCCCAGGAGGATGACAAAGAAACTCTTGCTTCCTGGGGAAGGTATAAGGTATGAGCTGGGTATGCAAGGAGAATCCAGATTCCTAGGATGGTGGTAGGTTAAGAGACCCCTCAAGCTGTAAGGTGGGTCTAGCCTGCTCTTTTAAACACTGCAACATTCACTGACTCTGTTTTGTGACATTTCTTCACTGCCCACCTCTGTCAAATGGCCTGATTTGAACAAACCAAAATAAATAAAAATCAATGTTGATAAGGGACTGGAACAACATTACTAAAAACATTCTGGAGACTTGCAATATGAAGGGAGAATCCCCATTTTCAGGGGGAAAAAAAAGTGGCTCCTCTTCCTCAAGTTCCAGAAGTGTGGGGGGATGGTGCTGAAGTGAAAGCAGTGGTGATGTGTGCTGGCCCTGAGGTTAGCTAGCAGTCAAACTGTGAAAAAGAGATCACTTCTTTCCTCTGATCCTGAATGAGCAGAACCTCTTCCAAATCTTGTATGCTAAATCAAAAAGTCCTGTCTGCTTAAAAAGAAATTCTTACTGGAACTAGGAACAAAGAGATTTCTAAAAACCATGCAAAAGAGCCAAAGTAAATGACATACCACATGGTTAAATAAAAGTTAACATCTATTAGAGGTGGGGGTAGGAAGAGTTTGCCAATTACATCACTTTAGAAAACAAAGAGCTAAATAAGTATGACAAATAGTTCTGTTGAACCTGCTGGGCCTCTTTCTTGAGGGTCTCCTGTGGCACTATAAGCCTTGTCCTGTAGTTCGGCAATCGGCAACTCCACTACTTGCTCTTTAAAATGACCACAGGGTATGTTTAATCATAGTCCCATCTGGAGTCTTTAAAAGAGTAATAAAGTCACAGATAGTGAGGAAGGGGCCTAGCTTCTAACTTTTCCTCCCCTTATACTTACCGCAAATCATGGCTATAGAGTTTCCACCTCAAGCTCCTATATCTAGAGAGCCCAGTTCTTCAAAAGGGACCCAAGGGTTTGTCTGGTTCCACCTTGAGCCCAGAAGGGAATCTGGTCTCCTTTTCAGGAAGTACTCACCTGTTCTGTGTGTGCTTCCCAAATTAAAAGCCCTGCAGAACTTAAGGAAAACTTTCTTCGCATCCCATCTATCTCCTCCAAACAGTAACAGCCTCAGCTTTAAGTTTTCATAAGCAAAGTTTCTGCATTATTTTTATTGGAATGGTGGTTGTCAGATGAAGAAGCTAGTCCAACAGCTAGTCTGCTGTTCTCTACGAGGGAAGGCCACTTGAGCAAGAAAAAACCCTATAACAGCAAGAGCAAAACTTTCTTGGGATTCACCGAGGAAAGCCTGAAACTGTAATACTATGATCTTGAAATATTTTTATGGCCATGAATCAGTTTTTAAAAAATAACCAGTCACGTACATATAAATAACACTGAAAAATTTTCTATGGCGTGATTTTTGGCAGGTATCTTGTCCCTGCAACTGCAACCACTTGTTCCAAGCCTCCTTATATCCAGCCTAATGTAAGTGAAAGCATCAGCAAAGATAAAATGAGGAGAAAGCAGAAATAAAACTTGCAACTCTATTCTCAAGGTTGGGGAAAATGTGGGCACCTGGATAGCTCAGTCAGTTAAGCTGTTACTGGTCTGCCTTCGGATCAGGTAATCATCCCAGCCCCCATCAGGCTCCCTGCTCAATGGAGAGTCTGCTTCTCCCTCTCCCTCCCCCCCCTTGCTTGTTCTCTTTCTCTCTCTCAAATAAATAAAATCTTAAAAACAAAAACAAAAACCACAGGTTGGGGAAAATGTCACACACCTAAGGCCTTCGGTGTTTTTTTTTTTTTTTAACTAGATGTCAAAACTGGGATTTTTTTGGGTCCAATAATCTAATCTTCTATAAGAAAACCCCATTAAAACTATTCTGAAGGATCACATCTGAGCCACATTTTCATTGGTAACTTCATTCTCTACCACTCCACTCACTAGGAAAACAGTTTTGAAAGGATCTAAATCATAACCTCTAATTTCTGCAGAAGATTCTCTTCTCATTTAGTCAAGTACTCTTTGGTAAGTCTTCCACTAACCTAAACCAACTTCATGGGCTAGAGAATTTTAAAAACTGACTCAAAAAAATAGGCAAGTCATTCACATAAAATCTTTAGAATAAATGTGTTTTAAAATAAAATAGAAAGTAGAGTTTTCCAGTGTGAGAGAGCACACTTAAAGCTTGCAGCCAGTTAACGATCAAGCAAGTATGCCTGAGTCCTAAAAATGGTTTACATTAAAAAAAAAGCAAGAGCAACCAGATCCCCCAAAGACACTGAAACAAAAGACTGATCTGTTTATGTAGTCACATGAAAAATAAACATCTTTATTTTTTTGCCTACTTTATTTCATTTTTTTCAAATAAAATTTAAATCTGTACAAAGTATACTGTTACAGTATATATTTTGTAAGAATCAATGCCTAAAAGAATCACAATACTTCAATAAGCAGTACAGCAGACCTCGCTAGTTTCAGCTTTGATATTGAACAAACTCAAGCCGGCTGATGCACAACACATTTGCTTGGTTTCCACATGGTGAGTTCCCAGCACTGAGATGGGAGCACATGACAGCAAGTATGGTTATATTACAGCCCGACACACTGCGCTTCTTCATGTGATAATAACTGCACATATTTAATACAGAATGCTCAAATTTATTTTTTAAATTGCATTTGCTTACTTCTTAGTTGGCAAAATTCAGCATTCTTAATGGGGTCCTCAAACAGTGCAAATTAATGGTATTCTACTGTATAATTGGCACATCTCCAATAAGGATTAACTTGTAAACTCAAAGAATATCACAACTTTGGCCTAAATTTTAACTAATATACATCTGGTCCATTTAACCAAAGTCAGTTTGGAAAGATATTAAAGAACAATTCTATATTTGAAAGGATACTGTTTTGACCATTCTTTAGAGAAGTAAATTTTTAAATTCTCATTAAAATGTTTTACTATAAAAATTTTACAAACTTGATTAGAAATTTCAAGATTATGATTCACAGCAGACAAATACAAACTTTATATTCCAACAATACCTAATCTTAGACTTTCAAACAGTGCACAACCATGTCAGCTGTGTTAACTAAAATTCTGAACAGTGTACTAAATTTATAAGTGGTGCTGGGTCTAGCAAGTGTAAATACACAGTATATTTTAATGAAAAGAATTGTCTTCTTTATACTTTATTTGTTTTCCCATAAGGAAACATTAATGTTTACATTCTTTAATAAAGTTAATCTTACATCAGAATATAACTTAATACTGTCAGCAACAGGGACCACACACAGTAAATAAGAAGCACATTTAAAATAAGTCTGAATTCACATAGATTAACATTTGTTGGTTAATAAAATATTGACAGTATTACAATCTTACAATATTTACAGTAAGAAAAATCTAGAGCAATATATACCTTTCACAGCAGGATTCCTTTTTTTTTTTAATTATTTCTTCCAGTTTGGGATTGTGTATACATGAAAAGCTCAAATAAAGCAACTCTGCAATATAATCTTAAAATAATGGCTACCGGGGGGAAATTCTATCACAACCATTGAAAATAATGGTGACTTTTCACGGAGTCTGTGGCATCTGAGAACCCAGTTAATTAACCGAAGTCTTGCCCCAACCAGCCTCAGTTACCCAGATTAAAGCTGCAGAACTCCGGCCTTCCCTGACTGCTGAAAACCCAACAGATTTTTCTCAACATGCTGTAAGAAAAGAGGGAGATAGGTTTCAATTCACACCTCATGGTTGGAAGCCTCCGCCAGTGCATATTCCCCAACTTATGCTAAAAGGGCCCTGCTTCACCTCCAAAGCATCACAAGAGTTCCCCTCTCACTACAGGACACTTTGATTTGCTCACTCCTTCCTCAACTCCTGTGCATTAAGATAAGGCATGAACTTGGCCCATATAATACACACCAGCATCTTACTTGGGACCAGGGCAAAGAAACAGACTAATGCAGTTTGCACTGAGGTCAACAGGGAAAATGGGAAGCGATGCACATTTCCAATTAGAATGGCAAGAAGACCCACATCCCTAAACTGGAATTTGGCCAGGGCCTCAGAGTTAGCACCCCCTCTCTGAGTACCACAAGCAACTAGGATGTATGCTCTGGGCTTCCTCCAAGAGAGAGCATCTACAGTAAGTAACACTATGTGGGACATTAGTTCAGTGATGACTCCCAAGAAAAGAGACACAATTCTTGAATCTGGGGCTGACCACAGCACCTGAGGTCACTCATCTGAGCTGTGACCTGACCTGTCCCAACCCTGCTTACTTTAAGAGATCTGATGGGCACAGAGCACTCCGGGATATGGCTGCTGGCTACTTTGGACTCTAGATCTCACAGGTAATCAACAGGTATCTGGGATTGAATTAGCAAACTGTACCATAGCTCCTTAAACAGACACTGTCAGGTTTGAAATCATGTCAAGCATGAATCTTCACTGTCAGGTCAGAAATCAAAGTGGGTATCTTCCCACATCAGCCAAGGTTATTTTGTCAAAACCTTAGAGGAGTTGGACAGTTTTTCATGTTCCAAGTGATTAGTTTACTTAGTCAAGCTGGATTGGCAAACCAGACTGATCTATTTAGCTAGTTTTGTGTTTTTTTTTGCTTTTTTTTTTTTTTTATTCTTATGTATGTGTTAACCCAAAGCTGTTGTATTTGGGCTAAATACACTGACAGAGAAAATTCAAACAACAAAAGTTTTCAGCAAACTTCTGTGGTATTTTCTTTTTGGAAGTCAATGCAAGATCTAAAGGTATTTCTACCCAACAAAGTCTGTTTAAGTGTTTAATGTTATTTCCTTTTTGGTCCTATACAGAATGCTATGACTTCTATATAGGTCTGAATGCTGCTCCATGTAGATTCCTTCTGTATATCTAAAAATATATACTTTTCAGTAGTTCAATACATGGTTAATCTTCCCACAGAGGAAGATTTTTGTAATCACAAGTTGCAAAGTAGAAAAAAATCTCCTTTCTAAGAAAGGAAATACACTTTCCTATTATACACTTTTGAAGAAGCCCAAAGGCATGCACCAAAAAATCATTATGAAAACTAATACATGCATTAAATTGGTGTAAAGTTAGACTTAAAGTGCTGTTTCTCAATTTTTAAATTTGGAGAAGACATTTTGTCAGTTGACTCAAAGATCTCCCCTCACGCGCCCCCCCCCAACTCCATGGCATTAAGAGAGAAAAGTAAAAAGTATGCATAAATCTTTAAACTATTCTTTACATAGGGGAAAGGACAGATACAACAACTATTCTATTTATAAACTGGATTCCCAGTTTTAAATAAAACCAATATTTACTGGCAAAAATTGTCAAAGCTAATACATCCAAACAAATGTTACTAGTAAATAATGTTCTACATAGAGAATAATTTACTTTGGTTTTATGTACCTTCTCACAAATAATACTGGTGTCCCGTACGTCACCGAACTGATGTGTTCCAGCAAAGTTGTAAGGCAAATCTTTTTTTTTTTCCCAGTGACATCTTTTTTTCTAATAGACAAAACTAAAATCTTTTGGTGAGGAAGGGGTTAAGATAATGGTTAACCCCTTGGCATCCTGAGCATTGTGGTTTATCAAACTCTACCCTGCCAGAAGCTGTCAGGCACCCTGACCCCTGCCTTGAACCAGGAATGGCTCCCACATCTAGAGATGCCCTGACTCCTTATAAATAGCTCTCGAACATTGCTTCTTTTTTCCTTCTGTCTGGATGTCTAACAAAGCTGGTTGCAATGTCACATTTTGCTAGTAGGGGCCACCATCTCACAATAATTCCAATCTGAAATGTTTTAAGCCAATAGTTCTTAATTTCATTAATTAATTGAATTAATTTTTTTACTATAGAGTTGACTCAGAGCAGAGATCCTTAACTTGGGTTTCAGATGTGTGATGCCCCTGAGGTTGTATGGAAAATTATTGGTGTATGTGCATTTTTTTTTTCTGGGGAGAGGGTCCATCACTTTCATCAGATTATCAAAGGTATCTGTGATCTCAAAAAGGGGTTACAGGGACTTAGAGGGATACCCGTAATTCATTTTACACTAGGGCTGGGAAATGGGGGCAGAAAACTAAAAATGGCCTCAAAAAAAAGGGGCCAAATTACTGATCTTTTCCCTTTATTCAAATTTGGGAAATAAGTGCTTCAACCTAGGAAAAATAATTAATTAAGCTGATTAAACTCCATTAAATAAGCAAAGCCACTTTCTAAAATACTTTCATTTTGCACATATGGTAAGTTTAGTCTCCAAGAAAAGGTTTGGAGATTGAATTTTTCTCTTTTCCCTAAGGAAATTCATAAACATAATGCTGATCAACATCCACATTTAAAAGATCTGACAATCTAAAACTTAAGATAATTCTAATACAATAAGCCTTTAATTTACGATTTGGGGTAAAAGATTATCTAGAGTCAAATATACATTTGTCAATCATCATTCCCCAAAATTGGTCCATAGTTAGACAATTACCAGGCACAATTCCACTAGATAAACCTAAAATTTGAACAAAGGAAGTTTAACTTTCTATCCCAATTCAACACAAAACCACAAGGTTCTACAATAAAGGCCAGCCACAAACATTCACACTATGTCATAGAGGACTTACTCATTTCAATATATCACTGAATTATCAACAGAATTTGCAAACATGAGATCCAGAATGACCACCAAAACATGCTGAGAAGAGCATGTCAAGAATTAAAACACCATCCTCTGCCCCCACCCCCCTCCCATTGAAAAACACACTCAGGCATTCCAAAAATAAACCAGATCTAAAGACAGGCCTCTCACTTGTTAGTTTTAAGTATGAAGAGCCCAAAAGGATATGGGAAAGGGAATATAAAATGAAATAATAACTTACAAAAATTAATTTTAACCAAAACGCATTTGTTCTATTGACAAAACTATTGACTTTTTTCTCTTTTTTTGCAATTTTGAACACTGTTACACAATCAAGACAAAAAATATGTTCACAGGTACACATTTTGTTCTCCTATTCTTCCTAGAGCACATCTTGAGGTTATAAGAATGCTTCTTAGTTAAAATAAAGTCTCTTATCCCTTGCCACCCTCCCCCCCTCAAAAAGTGAGTGAACCTTGAATTCCAAAAAGGAATATTCATTTAACGTAATTATTTCAATACCAGTTATATCACATAGACCATGATGAAACTCTATGAGCATTATGGAAAACTACATGAAAGAGGGAGCTGTCACTTGCCACCCACTTCACTTCCAGCTTTTTAAACCAATACTCAGCTAGACTCAGATCTCATTGACTTCAGTGACAACAAATCAACACTCCAAAACCAGGCCATCTCAGGCTGGAAGCTGGATCTCCAAGACATTGTTTCATATACACACACATATATATGTATTTTCTACCCTAAGCTTTCACTTTGTCTATTCAAATAGTTTAATAAAGCTCACATTTATAAAGGATTATATTGGCAAATAAAGGCCCATATTAAAAACTTTATCAAAACAAATTTTTTGTTCTACATAGCTAACACTAAGAAATATTTTCTTGGACTTATAAAGCATATTTAATTGCATATAAGTTTTGCTTTGGGTGGGATATTGAAAACAATTCTGTAAGAAATTAGAAAAGACTAGAAACAAAAGTGAAAGTGACTAGTCTTAACTTTCAAAAAATCAAGTGCAAAGATAAATAGTGCAAATAATGAAAACTAGAAATTTTATAGGCAACTTTACATCTTTCCTGCTTTTGCACTTTTACATATTGATAACTTTATAAACCCTAACAACTGTATGCAGCATGGAAATGGGCTATCATTTATCTCCATTGACTAGACTCAAGGAAGCCTTTCAAAGGCAGTCATTTAAATCACTGGTTCTTGAGTAGGTTTGGGAATTCACTTTTTAAAAAACAGTTCCTAAGTGAGGGGCTATTTTAGAAGGCTTTACAGACTTCAATAAGTTATAGAATGTAATTGTATCATAATTTAAAATTGGTAAGATGGGAAAAGCATACTAAGTGCTAACTCTAAAAAATAAATTATAATAAAAATAACTCTATTGTTAATGAACTTGACTTTGTAAAAAAAAAAGTTACTTTCCAGATACAAAATCAAAACCTCTTTTTTTAGCTAAGAAATTTTATCACTAATGTATACGGATTTGGGTACAATGAAATAAATAATATCAGAATCACTGAAAAGAAGTCCATATTAAACTAAAAAGGAGTCCAAATACACTTGAATTATATAATCTATAAAACAAAATATTACAGCAATTCTTTATCTTAAATAATTAAAAATGTTCCTGGGATACTGGGAACAGAAATCTAAATACTATCAGTTCATCCTACAAAGAACATAAGAACTTCCAAGATATACTAAATTATATTAATATTATATGCCACCACTAAAAACACTGGGGAATTCCATAAATTTAAAGTAACGGAGAAAGTGGAAATACAAACAGAAATTTGAGCTTAAGGGGGTACACTGTCTAAATTGAAAAATACAGTATTATAGAGGGTCTCATAAGGTCTACAGTCTTAAAAAATGGGACTGCAAATGTAAAAGAAATGGAAAAGATACCTAAAATTGCAGTTTAGTGTTTTTACCTAGTTTACTCTTTTGTAAGAAATTAATATGGACCAAAGGCTCAAGGTTCTGTAAAATCAAGATAGGATATGGATCTTTGTGAACTGTAAAATCAAATGATTTACTCTAAGGACCCTTTTGAAAAGTAAAGCTAAACTACAGTATAACCTGAGCCCAGGAAAATAGTCTGTATAATAAATACTTCTGATAATTTAAAAATTGTAACTGAAAAAGTTTGAAATTTTCTTCTTTCCCTTGAAATAGCAAGTCCCCAGTACCAACATGCGTTGACCAGAGAAGCTGTCGTTCCACAATTGTGCTATTTAATTTGTCCAGAAAAGCAAATATCCTACACCTGAAAGCAGGTTTGTATAATGCATCATCATCATAACATCTAGCTATAGACCAACAGCTTTCTCATAACAAGGGACCCATTTTCTCTGGCTTATTGAAACTTCATTAGCGAAGATCAACTTCATTGTCCTTAGCAAACAGCGCTCATTTAAGACTCCATTTTAGTATCTTTCCCTACCTCCAATAAAAATTTCTCCCACTTTACCTTCAAATCATTCCCTTATAGAACTCTCACACTCCCATTCATGAACACATTAAACAGTTCTTCCCTTTCTGCTCTCAAATTTCCAAACCAGTAAATATCAGCCCCCAGTAACTTACCTAAAATACACATACTTCTTACTCTCTTCAATACACAAATTTCTTAACAATTTCACCGCTCTTCTGATTGCCAACTTAAGACTATGGGAAAAATAGCAGTCAGAAAAACTGCCCAATTAGCTCATTATCCAGAAATCTTTCTGAGATCAGTTAGCCATGTGCTAAGGCAGGAGCCAGCAATTTCTTCACTTTCCCTTTAAAGGGGTAAGTTTGAGTGTCACTGGCAGGCCTATGGCAAGAAGAATAAAGATGGAGAGAGAAACAAGGAAAAAGGAGGATGGGAGGGGGAAAAAAAGCCAAATGTATACGGTAGGGAGGTAGGTCAAATGCCACCAACAACTACCTACGCTGGAAATTGCCAATCCACTCCAGCTGAATGAGAGCTTGACCCAATACCAACATGTGTCCAATAATTCATTAGCTGATACTCCTAACTGGTTGAGCTAGTCAAGGTGAATACATTAAGTCATCTATCTGTCCCATAAGTTTGCTACTTCACAGTAAGGACATCTTAAGTCCTCTGAGGATCCTTCTGTTTTAATCCAGTTTAGACTAAAACAGATGTTAAAAAGAGTACTTCCATGATTCTCAAAACTCCAGAATATAAAGATTTGGTCCTTGAACTTGGAGGCCTCTTGAATTATTAAAGTGCACCCGAAATCAAGACAATTAAATTCTTAGCTAAAGTTTTCCCCATGAAATGCTATAAAATTTTAATCAATAAGAAAATTGTTAATAATCATCAAAACAAAGTATGCTTTCATGAAAAATTCAAAAATCTTGCAATTCCAAAATGAGTAAAATATATCTGGTCCTTAAAAATGAACTTTATTTTACATCGAAGATCACCACCATGTTTCTACCTATCAAACAAGACAATTTTCCACAAAAGCAAAGCACATCAGGGGGAAAAAAAAAGAAAAATACAAATACCAAACGTAATGTAGGGACAAAATAAAAATACATGAGTAACTATGAAATTTTTTAAAGAAAAGGATTTCTAACAAATGACCTTTGCCATACTCAAGCTTTCCTAAAGACATAAATTACCTAGACCATTCAACATCAAAACTTGGTAGTCAATTTAGCAGCTGTAAGATGACAAATTGTTGGCTTAAAACCATTATCTTTTACTATTCTCTTGGCTGTTTTTCCATTATGAAATTCTACCTGACATGATAATGCTAGTTTAGATGATCTTCACTTAACCCATAATAAAGAAATTTCTCTTTGAAAAGAGTCTATCAAATGGCCTAGGCCTTAAATTTAGGTTTTTAGGATCAAATAACTCCCTAAATATTAAAATCAGCTTTTCTTAAAAATATATTGCAAATTCTCTATGGTAATTAAAGCAGCTAGATGGAAACAGTAATTATAATAGCAGTGATCATTTTAGTTTAATAGTGTACCCTATTACAAATGGTTTAAATTCAGTTAATTTGCAATTAAAAACTCAGAAATATTATACATACATTATAATAATAATAATGTATGATTTAAACATGGATACATTTTAACAGAAAACTTTGCATCAATCAGTGAATTTACTCACTTAAGCGATTCCAATAAATTCTTTCTTATTCATTCCACTCCCATGAAAAAGTATGTATCTCTCCAAATTATTAAAATATTCAAATTTAAGGATAACCAACTATAAAATTTATACTCAGAGTTATCACCAATTGTTCTCTATACCTAAGTTGCTAAAAATTCCCTTTTTTAGCATCCTTTTACGTAGAAAGCAGGATCTCATTCTGATATTGAAAAAACTCAGAAAAGGGAAAAAAGTCATTAGATTTGGTATCTTATTTTTTTAATGGAGAAAAATATTAAAAGTATGTTCACATGTAAAATAAAATGAATTGTGGAGCTATGAAAACAACTACAGCAACAACTTCAGAAATCTCCATTCTAAAATCACCTGGAAGCGTGTGTGCATGCGTGTGAAATATGAAAAACTGAGTGGGAATATTGAAGAAGAAAGGGTGAACCATACGTGGGAGATAGAAGTAATAATCATGCCCACGGTGAGCTCACCATGGCTGGCATATAACCCAAAATGTCATAAAAGAAAAATATGTTTAGAAAGCTTCAACAGTGCCCAATGCAAAATGTTAAAGCACAGAAACAATGAATGAGATAACCCTCACAAACATCAAATTCCGTATGAAAATAGGAAAATAAACTGACATGCATCTTTTCAATACCAAATCTTAACTGACTCAAAAATTATATAAAGTGTTTGGGGCCATGGTACCCACCCAGATTCTCATTATCAACGGATTTATCTTTTTCCCTCCCTTCCACCCAAATTTAGTACAGTGTTCCTGCAGAAAAAGTATAGCATTCCTATATTAATAAGAGTAAGAAATGAAAACAGTGAGTACAACTGATATAGATCCATTGACTTTTATTACAAATGTACTTGATCACTTGGCTTCAAAAAGTTTAAAATCAATACCCTATTTTCTGTATGCCAGTACAAAGCAAACTTTTACAAATTAAATACCTAAAAATTTGACAAAAATATTAAAATTTGATGAAAAACAATTATAAAAATCCTTAATCTTTCTCTCTTCAAAAAGGAGGCAGTCTTCCCAGTCCTATTATACAATATTAATAATATTCACCATTTTTAGAATAGGTAGCTAAATTATACTTTTCTGTTAGCATACAAAACTCTTAGACTAATAGATTTCATTTGTATATGCTCCAGTTAAGTTTGTGAATGCCATCTGATTGCAATATAATCAACTATCTTTAATTGAGTCCTAATTTACACTTATTTAATAATTTGCATAGTTTAAGAGGGATAAAGGTTATTCTACAACTAATTATCATAGGCTATTACAGTGCTATTTTTCAAGGCAATAAGTATTTGCTCCCAAATGAAATTATCTGTCTTCTTTAGGCAGGGGTTAAAATTACTAGCAGCTTTCTCCATTACCCGAAAAATCAAATTGGAATAGTTATCCTTTTCTAGATGTGAAGACCTAAAAAACAGATTGATATATTTTCCACTTTGAGTCAAATTTCAACCCCTGCATGGGACTAGAAAGTGAGACTTTCAAGGTTTTTATTTCCCTGTTGGTTTTGGTTTCTACTCTCCATGGCTTTTAGGAGCTGGGAAAGTTTGTCTTTCCTGACTCACATTGTCTCTCCTTTCCATTTGGCAAATATTCATCTACCTTCAATCTGTATCTAGTAGAGGAAAAGCCGACATGGCTTTTCTTATGAACTTCCTTTGTTGTCAAAGGCATGTATGATTTCTACAGTTCTGGTTAGTTAACTTTAGCTCCCTCTGTGGCTGGATGACTGCTGCTTCTAACATCAGCATGATAAATAGGAGGCACAAATAAAAAGTAGCTTAAAAATAGGATTTGGTGATTTAAAAAGAAAAAAAAAAAGAACAACACCAAACACACACACATATATGGGCATTTCAAATCTGGTGGCTGATCTCTGGATTAAATTACTTGACAGTGTCTCTCATTGTAAAGAACGTCAATATTGCAATGCATTTCAAGTTTTCTGTTATACTTAGGCAAATAATATAGTTTAACCAAGCTCTTGGACCTTAATCGTAAGACAAAGCAGATCATTAAAAATAAGGCATACATCTCAGGAATTAAGTTTTGTTTGCTTGTTTTTGGCACATTTGATCATACTGTCTTCTATGAATAACACATATGGTCAAATATACCATTTCCTTTTTCATTTCAGCACAAACAGGGTTTACCAACTAGTAAAATAAAAACAAGGAAAAACTCCAACATAAAACACTGATATAGAACCTTGGTAATGTACCGAGCACCTGGGAGGAAGGGTAGGGAAAGGATGAAACAGTATAGGAAAGGGAAGGCTGGGAGGGTGCTTGGGGAGGTAAAGTGAGATGCAAAAAAGAGCATCTTTATACAGTCACTTAGTCTTTTCTAAGATCACCTCTTAAGTCTTAAAAGATTTGCATGTGGATTTCTTTTTAAACCCACTGACCATAAATCAGACACTGGTTCCAAAATCTTAGTAAGATTGTGTTTAACTGTTATAGTGTAAAGACAATTGCACAATACATGTGCTTATTGATCCGGTAGGATTCCAAGCAGAATCTGAAGTCTGTAGGTAAGAAAGGCTTCACTTTAGGTAACTATGACCCTAAAGAAAACCTCATGAAAGAACTCGCATCTCAAAGAAAGGACACTTTGCCTAAGTTTGCTGTGTTTTTGTTGACTTGCACTACTTATTGCTGGCTACTATGAAACACTGATCTAGGAGTACTCCAACAACCTGTAGTACAAGGCTTAACTTTAAGAAGCTATAGTAAACAAGAGACAAAATCAAAGCAATTCTCTTTCCTAACTAGTAACAGCACAGAGAATGCAGTCTTTTCCAAATCACAGTAAAAGTACAGTGAACAAAACAGCTCAACAAACCTTAAGACAAAAAAGTGCAGGTTATTAATGTTTACATGCAGTTGATAAGCATTCCAAATGTCACATTATGCACTGTAAAAGCTCAACTTTACTATATGGAAATAAGAAAAATGCACCTTGGGGGAAGGGGAAAAGCAATTTAATAATTTCCAGTGATTTTTGTAAGTAAAGAAATTCCTAACTATTGTACGGTCACCTCATATTTAACATTGTATGAATATTAAAAGCAAACAATTTAATGGGAAAATGCACAGTACAATGGAAATAGCTTGTTATTCAACACATACAGTAGATCTCAAAAACAAAGACAACACACTCAACCAGGGAGCTTAAAATATCAAATCAAAACCCAAAGAACCAGCAGAAGAAAAAAAAAGTCCTTCAAAAAGACAACTCTTTCACCTTCCTAGGCCAATGCTTTACAATGTGAGAAGCACTGATACCTTCCAGCTCCTACAGGTGGTGTCTTCTACATACAGCAGTAAGATCTATATGGCTGGATTTGCCAAGAAACAATTCCATCCCCAGAACTCTCTATATCAGACAAGATCCTTTTTTTTTTTTTAACCAAAATATTTTCTACAGAATTCCAAACCAAAATGTACTGTTTAAGGCATCTTTTTTTTTTATAACATTTTCTCTTCACTCAAAGATGATAGTCATGCAGCAGTTTAATGATAAAAATATATTAATATTTTACTATACAGCAGCAAGAAGTTAGTTGTCAATTAAAAGCACACGAACATCTTTAAATGAAAACCTGTAAAAGACTATCGTTACAAACAATTTCAGTTTGGAGGACACCAGCTTGGGAAAGTGCTCTCCTAAGCTTTGCATTTTCATACCCTACACCTTGAATATATGAGTTATAGAACACACTTTTGATAGAAGGCTTGTACACTTGGGGAACACAAATACACTTAGCATATAATGTAGCCAGTAATAACTAGCACCACAGCTACATGGAAATCCTTTACACATACCAACTTGGCTTTCACTTTTAAAATGAAACTCAGAATCCATGGCTCAGTAGGATAACTATAATTGTGTTGCTCTGCTTTTTAACAGGTCTACATAAGTTAATAGCACTGGCAAAAATCAAAGAATAGCTTCAGACCTCTTACTAGTTTAGGAGACAGTGCTAGTGACCACAAATAGACTCGCTACCTGATGTCCAAGTACAGGTTCACTGGAAATTGCTGCACGTTAGTTTTTAAAATCTTTCTACACATAATAAAAAAAATATATTATGAACGATACATCTCATATACACAATAATGACAAAACACCTACTCAGTCAAAGCAAACAGATGCAGAAAAATATCATGGGAGATTTCCTTTTTCTTTCTTTCTTTCTCTTTTTCCTTTTACTATTTGAATAACTTTGGTTCCAACCATAAAAATCACAACTTAGCAAATTTCATTTAAATGCCTTTTTTAATAATTTCTTCATGTTCACAGAAGTTTCACTGACCATTTTTATGTTTAAGGTCCAGATGCAATGCATATTGTATAAAAGAGAGCACTTATTGTTTACCTTGCATGAATTAAACCTACGTACCTTTAACTCTACAAACTTCTGCATAACATTTAGACAAAGCTCAGACACACAGCATGCCTAGCCCTCATATATATACACATCTCTAATCACAGGTATATAGGGTGTCAAATATACTATAATAACCTCCATGTAAGGTTTGAAATTTGGTAACAAAATGAGAAAAACTAAAAATATTATTTTACGTGTTCTAAAATATCTCTTTTTTTGTGCTAAAGTCAAATGTTAGCTCAACATGAAAAGGACTTTTATATAATTCAGCAATATTATAATCTTGACCATTTTGCAAACACTTTTAATAATAATAGCTTAAACGTGTACAAAAGTTCTTGGTTAATTAGGGAAATAAACACTCAGTTCTTTATATTTTTTAATCAAGTAGGAAACACAGTTCATATAATGTTATTACTTTTTGTATTTTTTTTGTTTTTTGTTTTTAGCAGCTGCTTACTGTTTTATATGGTGGATAAAGTGGACAACATCCAGCGATGGGTGGCAAGTCAAGAAGAGAAACTGTCAGTTGGTGGAGGTTCTGTGGGTGGTGCTCCCTTGGAGTTAACAGTTATTTCTTTTTTTTTTAACTTTTTAACTTTTTATTTTCTCTCTTTCTTTACAGTATATTTTCTGTGTGTGGCTGTGTGTGTGTGTATGTGTGTGTGTATGCATGTGTGTGTGGGTTTTTTTCCATTCAGTTTGATCAATCTTCTTCCCCTTCTTCCTCACCCTGCAGCAACAGGGTGGCAGCGGCGGTCTCCTCCTGCTGCTGCTGCTGCTGCTGGTGGAGCTGCTCACAGGCAGCTCGCTTCTCCCTCTGCTTCTCTTGAATCTTCTTCATCTCCTCCGAGTACTTGCAGAAGGTGTGTCCGAACTTGGCCCACACCTTGTAGGGCACGGTGATGGAGTTGCGGTAGGTGGGCTTCACCTCGCTCACTCGCATAAACACGCCGTACTTGTTGGAGCCCACATCGAAGAAGAAGCGCTTGTTGTCCACAGTCAAGGAGGTGCCCTCGGGCAGCTCGGCCGGCTCCTCCTCCACTCCGTAGTCATCGATGAGCTTGGCCAGAGCGTCGCGGAACTCGATGAGCCCCTGTGCGGGCAGCGCAATGGTCTGGCCCTGTGTGGAGCCCAGGCCGGGCCCCCGGTTGACCGTCTGGCGGATGCGCAGGAAGCGGCCGCGCTGGTTCTCCTTGAGATCCATGTAGTACTTGCGGTTCTCGCGCACCAGGAACTCGCTCTTGAGCGCCCGGCGCGGCTCGTCCTGCGCCTGGGCCAGGTCGGGAGGCTGGCTGGGGCCCAGCTGCGCGTAGTGCTCGATGAAGTCGCCCAGGTAGTCGCGGAACTCCACGGCCACTGACATGGAGAGAGTGAGGCGGCTCTTGTTGCCGCCCGCGCCCACCTCAGCGATCTTCAGGAAGCGGCCCTTGGCGTTCTGCTTCACGTCCAGGTAGAAGCGCTTGTTCTGGATGTCCACCCGCTTGGAGGCCAGCTCCTGCGTCTCGTGCTGCAGCCCCCCCGGGGCCCCGCCGCCGCCGCCGCCACTGCCGCCGCCGCCCCCGCCGCCACCACCGCCCCCGCCGGAGCCCGAGCCCGAGCCCGGGTGCCCCAGGGAGCCGCCCGAGCCCAGCGCCGCACCACCCTGCTCGCTGCCGCTGTCTCGGTCCGCCATGATGCTGCGCTCCGCCGCCGCGCCGCCGCCGCCGCCGCCTGCCGCTCCGCCCGCCGCCTCAGTCGCCTCAGCCGCCGCTGCTTTCCCTCCCCGGCTCCGCCTGCTGCCGCCGCAACCCCCACAGCCAGTCAGCCACTCTCGCGAGATCTGCGGGAGAGACGAGACCCGGTAACAGGGCACTGACTCCCCAGTACAGTAGCAGGGCGCCCTACTGTACGCGCCCACCCGCCCGCCGGCACGTGACATGCGCCCCCTCCCTGATGCCAGCCCCCTGCCCGCCCGCCCGCCAGGCGGCGCCCACCCGCCGGCCCTCACCCCACACCCCTGGCTGGGGGGGGGGGGTGTTGTGGGACGCGCCGCGTCGCAGCTGCTGCCGCCACCACCACTGTGGCTGTCGCTGTTGGCCAGACCCTGGGCGGCCTCGGCCCAGGGAGTTGGGGGACCAGGGGTGAGAAGGGGACTGCCATACTAAGCACAGGGAGCAGGCCTGAGCCCTGCTTTTCAGTGACCCCAAAGAGAGGATGTAGGGGGAAGGGCCTGTGAAGCGCAACTGAGCTCACTGCAGACAGGGGACACCGAGTCACGGCCACCCCCTTCCTTGTGGGGCCCAGCCAGACCCAAACCCAAACCCAGACAGGCCCACCCATTGCCCGACTGGGCTGTCTCCTACCGCAGAGCCCTGGCCGCAGAGGCGGGCAAGGAACAGGAGAGGTGGAGCGGCGGTAAACCTTAGCTGCAGAAGGGGCTGCCTGGGATGAGGACGGGGCGCCGGCAGCAGTGGCGCGGAGGAGCAGACACCTAGCCCGTCCCTCCCCTCGCTCCCGCCGCTCCCCCTCCCCGCGCAAGGCAGCGGCTCTGGCCTCAGATGATCCCGCTCCCCCCTCCCCCCAACCGCAGCCCCGCACAGTCGGGCGGGCGGCGGGCGGCGGGCGGGCGCACTCACCGGCGGGGGGGAGCTGAGCATAGGACAGCAGCCGCACCGGGGCCGGGGTGCCCGCAGTGCCTGTTCCCGTTGGCTCTGCCCTTCCCCCCAAGCAACAATCAAAAAGAAACCCCACACTCACCCAAAAACCTTCAACCAGCCCCCTTTGGGACCACAAATGCCCGCCTGCCTCCCCCTCCTCCTTCGGAGATTTGGGGAAGGGGGGCACCCTGCTCAAGGCTGAGCCCAGCCTGGGTTGCCGGCCAGCTCTGCGGATGAACCAGGCCCTGCCGAGCTTTCAGCCCCCAACCCACTCTTCCCCTCTGGAAGGACCCAGAATGGAGGCGAAAACCAAGCAAGATTTAGGAAATTCACGAGCTAAAAATGTCAGGAATTTCCTGGGAAACGCAGTTCCTTACGGGTTTCATTAATACAGGTCGCTCTCCCCTTTCACCCCTCCTCCCAGAAACAACTAAGTGTCAAAGAGAGCTCCCACCCCTCAAAAAGTAAAACATTAAGTAAGTAATGGTTTTTAGGTGGACAGCTAGTTTACCAACCATGAATTAACCAATGAATCTTTGGATAGTGACAGCCAAAGGGGGTCCCTGGTCTCTCAAAGGGACTCGGAAATAAGTGAATTCTACCTTCCTAGATCTAAATCATCATCTGGGGCCTGTTTTCTTTCTCCTAGATATCCAGCAAATGCTCATACTCCCTCCCTGCAGTCTATAGTTCTAACAGTTGAAGGAAAGCTAAGGCCTATCTCCCAGGGAACTCCTGCCAATCCCCCTACATTTTCCTTATCACCTTCCGTAAGGGGCTCAGGGGATACTCACAGCTTTACTCCTCGCTTTCTCAAACAATGGATTGCTGCCTCTATCCTTAGAAAAATTTGTCTGTCCCATCTGTGGGCTCCATTCCCACTGAACATCCCTCAACCCCCAAAGTAAGGAGCCTTCCCTCCCTCTTTTAGCCCCAGAGACTGTTGAGTACATAGTTGTTCAGGCTTCCTGGAAAAGAAAGGGGTAGAGAGGACTAATGATCAAGAAACCTAGACTAGTCTAAGACATAACCTTTCAATGCCTGAGCCCTCAAAGCCCCCTAATATATCCTTTCATCACCTAGGCAAACCTGCCTGCTAAGTATTCACAGCTTCCTTCTTCTTTTAGCCAGGGCCCCGTTCTAGCCAGCAGAAGCTTCTTTGGATCTGGGCTGATGTTTGCTACTGCCCGCTAAAGAGCAAGAAACAGGGCAAAGCACGATGGCTACCAAAGAGTAAACTGGAGTGGTCCTGTGGGAACCAGCCCCAGAACCACCCACCCATCCAGTGGTCCTTGAAATGGTTCCCTGAAGAGGAGGCCCATTCTGAGAGAAAGAAATCCAGACTTTGGGCCCCATAAAGAATTTCTCCTTAGTTGGGCAGGGGCATTCTCCAGCATTGCGTAGTACACTTTTAGTGCGGATTTTTCTGAACTCCCTCCCTTGTCCCCAAGTCTGCAGGGAAGGGAAGAGAAGACCTGTTGGTGAACTTCCCACCGGGCAAAATTTCAAGTGAGAAAAAGGCAGTGGCACCTCCAAGCTCACACAGTAGCAATCAGGACCCTGGATAGACCCTGGCCCCAAACTGGGACATAAAGGATGAGTGGCAGGGTCTCGGAACAGAGCAGAGCCGGGTATTACACTCCCAGCTGTAAAATGAGGCTAAGATCTGTTTAAGTCTGATATAAAAGAGCCGCTGTTTTTCTTCTCAGGTTTACCTTGCGCAGAACCAAGCTCTTGCCCCTTTAAAGAGAGCTCACAGAAGCAAGAAGCCCAAAGAGATTGCTACGAGGGGGCACGCGCTTACGGGTCCCTGCCATTCTTCTACGCTAATGACTGCTTTCTCCAGGACATAAAACCAGGGTTTAAAACTCCCCACCTTCTTGAACCAACTTTAGAGTCTAAATTTCTTCACTGTCCCAAACGTTTACATCCAGGGTTCTGAAACAGTTTGAGTTTGGGAACACCCTGATTTTCTGAAAAAGCGTCTGTCACCAGAAACTGAGTTCTTAGTTCCCCAGCGCAGAGGCAAATGATGAAGTTTCTAGGCAAAACACAAGTTAAATATCATTTGCATTCTTACTCTGGGAATTTTAAGCTCAAATCAGCAAATGACTGAGACCTGGATCTCTCCACATAAATAGGCACTTATGTTATGCTATTTATTATATATATATACAAAATTTCTGCCATTATATACCAGTTTCTCTATTTTACAAATGGTATCTAAAAGGTAAACAAGGTTAACAATGGCTTTTCCAAAACAATTCAATGATAAGTGGGATATTTAGCACATTTTCACTACTCAAAAAGTTAATTTCAGGATAAGCCTGTAAATGTGGGGCTTTGGTCAGACTGGGGAAGGGGATGGTGGTGAAAGGCGGCTTTCCTTAGGTTAGATAATATAGTAGCCTTAAAAGGCAGCCTGGGAAGAATGAATATTGACTCGAAAGTCTTAAAAAGCTTAGAACCTTCAAAAGAATTTCAAAGTTAGATTTGCATCCTAACATTGAAACTCCATTCGAAAATCTGTAGATTTGAAAAGACTTCTAGCCATTTGTTAATTACCTAAATAATATACTTAGTAAATGAAAAGTCAGTTCCAGTGTCTGGCTTTTTGAATTTGTTATTTTGAAACAAACAGTTGTAAAATTAAATTGATAATTTCAATACAATATGGGAAAGGCAAAGGGGAAACGAAATATATCAATATGCAGCAAAATATCTGTGTTAATTAAAATTCGTCAAAAATATTCCCTTTCTACTCAGTTTGCTTACTTTAAAAAAATCTGATGTCTTTATATTTCTTGTGCTTTTATTAATACTACACACACATTTTGAGAACAGAGATTGCTTTATTTTCAATCCCACTATCTCTGTTGTTAACAAACCCTTACTAACAAAAAATTGTTCACAAGTGAAACAAACATTAGACAGAACAAGAAGGAAAAAAGCTTCACTTTTCCTCAGCCTGAACTATGGGTGATTCTAAATAATTTAGTTTTGAAAAGTAAAAATTAACACACACATTTATAAAATAAACTTGGAAGGAGGGAATCTACCTCTGGGTAAGAAACCCTTTTGACTATATGGAGTTCCCAGCAGACAATATGCTGATTAATACCACAGATTACCAAAATAAAAGAGAAGCAAGAACATTAGAAATTGTGTTTTCAAGTGCTACTTTAAATGCCTTTTTAAAACTAGACAATTATCTTCAATATCCAAATCATTAAAACTAAGTGGAATGTTGAATTCCAAGTGTTCATAGTGGAGGAATTACCCATTTCTTCTCATGGCTATCTTCCAGGAAAATGAAGGGTAAATGTTCACGTTTAACAACAAAGACTAATAGTAATAGTATTTCATCAATCATTTTTTAAATGCACATTGTCCTTCTATAGCTCACCTAATCTGTAAAATTATATCTCTCCAATGCTATTTTAATGTTTAAAGATATGAATTAAACATCCAAAATCTGAAGAGAACAATCCATGTGACAGAACCCTCGCATTTCACAAAATGTTTTCATTCTAAGCATTTGCAAAAGAGTTAAATAAACGTAGCACGCATTCTAAATTCGATCAAAGATTCCAAGAACCCGATATTTTATGTACCCAAAAGGCCCAAACAGAACCGATGCAAACGTCAATAGCTCATTCTCTTCCCGCTGATGCTTAAAAGGTTTTACTAGTACCCAAAGGAATGAAATCAGCAACTCTCCACACTCTAGTCAACACTCCAATTTTCAAAGCAGCAATTCGCAAACGTTAGTTTGGGCTGGAAGCAGTGGGGGGTCTTGAAGTAATAAAAAAAAATTCCTTTTCTCCTCTGACAGTCTACCAAAAGAAGTCAAACCAAATTCCGTTTATTGTAAAGCACTGGGACCTCCCTTCCAAGGACACGGGAAACAAGCATAGACACCGCTGCCAAAAAGCTCTCCGAAAGCACCTGGCCCGACAGAACGAATTAGAACCCTCAAGAGGGTCCCTCACAGACAGCGGAAATAAAGGTGGCATTAATTCAGGGGCAGACAGCAACGAGCCAAAGAAAGTTGCCCTAGCCGGACTTGGGCCTTTCTCTACCCAAGTTCAGAATCAAGGCAGATATATTTGTGAGGGTTCCTTCTACAGACATATCAGCCGCCTCCGGAGCCCACTCTCGCTCAAAGGTAAGACCCCCAACTTCGCATCCGTTCCTTTTGCCCCCGAACAAAGGCAGACGAAGCTGTAGAGCAGACCTAGCTCCGTGGGGCTGCGAAAATGCCTTGTTCGGGCCACTCATCCTTGGGCCTGCCTTCATTTGCGATGTCAGTACCAATGTATTATTTTTTATTTTTACAACGCATCCTGGGCGGGTGTATGCATTGCGGGGGTGGGGGTTGAAGAGAGGAGAGGAGGGGTTGGTAGTGAAGCCTAGAACCCTCCTTCTTCCCCCTCCCGCCAGGGCTGCTGTGCAGGGAGTGTCAGCCACGTTTGGCGCACTGTCCCAGGCCCGGGGCGAAGGTGGTCAGGAGAAATGGGGCTTAGGGATTGCTAGGCAAACGGCACCACTGGTGGTCTACAAGCGTCTGCGGAGGTAGGATTGTCTTTTTTTTTTCCTTTTTTAAGTGGCGTGTGATTTTGTTCTTTTTTGGAGGTGGGAGTTCGTTCGTTCGTTCGTTCGTGCGCTACGGGGGGGGGGGGTGTTGCTGCACTGCCAGAGTCCCCGGAGGGAGGGTGCGAGGATGTCTACAATGGTACAGTAATTATTCCTGGGGCATAAGAGCGCAATTAGAGAGGACGGGGTGGGCGGCACCTCGAGTTGTGGCAGTGGCAGCACGGAAGGTCGCGAGGGGCTTACCCGGGCGGGCGGGCGCTGTCCTGCCGCAGGTGAGGGAGGGCGCGGGCTGGAGGGAGGGAGGGCGCGCGCGAGGCTGGCGCTAGGCTGGCGCGAGGAAAGGGGGAGGGGAGCAGGGAGAGGAGGACGCGCGCGCGCACACCTGTCCTGGACAGCGGCGCGAGCCGAGCGGCGCCTCACTCCGGCTCTGCCGGCTGAGGAGGAAGGAGGGCAGGCTGGCGGGCGGGGGCGGGACGCCGAGGGGAGGAGGAGGAGGCGGCTCGGACGGCTGGCTCGGCTCTCGCTCGTCCTCCCTCCCGCGGGCAAGTTCGGCTCACACCCTGCCTCTCCCGCTCACTCACAGCCCCCTTGGCTCTCCCTCCTCCTCCTCCTTCCCCTGCGGGATCCGCTCGTCGCCGCCGCAGACGGCAAGTCGTGGCAGCCAGACGTCGGCGCGTAACCCGGCGCTCCGTGCGTGACTCCGAGCGACGTCAGCGCGCGTTCCGCGTTACCCACCATCTCTCCCCCATCCTCCCCCCGTGGCTCGCGCCCTCCGCCCTCGCGTCCCTCCGTTTCAGTTGCCGTGGCGGCGGGCGGCGAGCGCGCTCCCGCCGCCTCCCTCTTGCGCGTGCGCGCGTCTTCTCCGCCGTTGGCGCGTCAGCAGCGGGCGGCCGAGGCCTTGAGGCGCGTCCGAGGAGGGGGCTGCCTGTGGCCTCTTCGCCCGCACTTCCTCCGCTCACCGCGCGTGGCGCCCCTAGGAGGACTCAGTCCATCGTTGGGCTTTGAAGGCTGGAGCGAGGCTCAGGCGGGGCAAGAACCCCGTTGGGCCTGCATCAGCTCCAACTTAGGGCCCTAAGCCGCGTTACTGGTGCAGCTACCACCCTGTCGCCCTCTCCCCCCGCCCCCGTTCCCCCCGCACGTCTCGGGAGGCAGTAGGCCTTTCATCTCCCGGGAGGGTCTCACCTTGGCCTTCAGTCGCCCGCCGAGAGGGCTAGAAGGGCAGAATTAGCATAAAAAAGAAAGCAGCGAGACCACGTTCAGGCTCTAGCCCCAGGAATCCTTGACAGGAAGCGTGGGGCTGCTGCCCAGCCTCCCACGCAGTGTAGGTGAAGCTGGGCCCCTTTGAGGGACTGTGACTAAGGACAAAACCCTGATAAATATTATTTATGCGTCCTTGGGCTGAGAGGGAGAAAGTGGAAGAGACGAGTTATTTTTCATAAATTGCTACGCAAGAACGAAATGCAGAACTATTAAATGTCCTTTAAGAGTTTTCTTGAAATCTTCAGTTTGACAGGATTTTTGGTGCATAGCAACTTTTTCCCCTCACTTTGTATGCTGTCACGTCTCCCATCCTGTAACACCGCGTACGTGGAAGATGGATCAGTTAAAGATTATCAGCTGCAAATAAATAGAAGGTGTCATTTATTTAAATAGGTCTCAGAGAAATTAGTCTGCACTTTAGGAAAATTTAGTCACTGTCCTAACTTATTTGAGTATATTTTATTTCGAAGTTACCTTGCAATACACAGTAAAATATCCTTTTAATAGGCATATTAGACTTTTAAACTCATTTATTATAGGCCCAGACCTTTTTTTAAGGAAGCTTATCTAGTTAAGCCTTTGAGGCAAGTAGGAGTGAGATGAAATTAACCCCATTTTATAGATGAGAAAATCGAGTTACAAAAATGTAAGTCAGTTGTTCAGAGTTGCAAGGAGTCTGTCACCGATAGAGGGAAACACCTCAGGTCTTTTATTACCTACTTTATCCACTAAGCCAAAAATCCCTCAATTGTTTACTTCTAGGTGTCTTTGGATGCCCCTCTCCCCCTCCCCATCTATTATAAGCAGTGCTTAATTTGGTAGGTATTCCTGGAGACCCCAAATCCCAGAGGACTCTGGTTTGAGGTTGGAATTTTCTGCCATAGAAAACTATAGCTGAGCAATAAGTTATTGTGAAACAATTCAGATTCCATACTAACAGCAAAATGTTTATTAATCCCTAGTTAGGGGTAAAATTTTTTAGACAGGTTTAAGAATGATGGGTCATTTCTTTTGAATTGCTTCTTTATTCACCTCATCTTTAGGTGGCAGCACTACTATATAAATATCTTTAAAACTACAGTCTTCTGCAACTTGATATCCTGAAGAGTGTTTTGTCCTAAATACATCCAACTCTATTGTGGAGATTAGAAATATGAAATCATACCTGAGAATTAGAATACTTAAGAAGTTCTAGAGGAGGAAAAACAGAAAGGCTTTCAAAAGAGAAATTAATACATGGAGTTACTGAAGGAAAAGATTTGAAGGTTTTTAAAAAGCTTTTTTTTTTTTTTTAGCTGTATAAGGAGCAAGTAGCATCTTCACTCTAAGCCTGATCTTGTATTGAACCAGCACAAAATAACCTTTCAAAGCAAACCATAGTTTCTCAATACTGCATATTAAGAATTTTATAAGTTTAAACTTGCTAGTTGTATAGTTGCTAGTATTCTAACTACAATTTTATTTTTTAAGTAAGTGCTATACCCAACGTTGCACTTGAACTCATGACCTCCAAATCAAGAGTCGCATGCTCTACCGACTGAGCCAGCCAGGCACCTGTACTTACAATTTTAGATTTGGGGTGCAATTTTCTTCATTAAACTGCATCAAGCTTGTGAGAATCCCAAATAGCACCTTATTGTTGACCCTTGTGGAAGAGAAGAACTCTTCTTGGCTCCTTTCTTTGCTTCCTAAATTGTTCATACAATTGTTCATACAAACTAAACCACCATTACTCAAACTCAAAACAGTGATAATTTCAGCTAAACTATATATAAACTGATAGCAACTCACAGATATCCTATATCTTATTGCTGCAGTGTTTGAGGGTAATAAATTGTGATGTATGGGGGCTATTTGGATAAAAAATTCTCTAAGTAGAACTTTATCATAATTTTGTGTATTTACAGTAGTTCTCTCTGTACTCCTTTGTCCAAGCTACCAAACAAAATTGAATTTACATGCGTTTCAAAATAGACTGCATTAGATTTATGGTATACACTATGAAAGAATATAGAAGTATGACCATCAGGAGTGGGAGAGCACATTATTTCTGGGTAGAGGATGAAGGGTTAATAAAGTCTTTCTTGATGGCAGCTTCCATCTTTCTCAGGTTAAACTTGGAGAGAGTCTCAAGCAAACTGGTAGAGCCCAAACTCAGCAGTATTCTGTTAAGATTTTTAAGCTCTCTGGTGCCAGCAAATCATGCAGCCCGGGGGCCTTTGCTCCAAACTTCTGCCAACTCCATTTTGGCAGTAGGGTGTTCTGTTGAACAAAGTTTGCACGTGTTTGGGGTGTGAAGTGGTTCCTCAGGCATTTATCTGGTTTTATTCCAGTTTGGGGACTTGAAGACAAGAGTCAGAAGCACGAGACTTGTCTAGTTCATATGTGCCCTGACAGACTACGTTAGTTATCTTGAATTTCCACTTAAGCAAGGGCAGGTTTTTCTTTGTTGGTGTAGAATTTATTGAAGTGGACCGCTTACTTCTTAAATGCTGACATGATCTTGAACCAGTTCTCAAAAGCAGGTAAGCAGAACCCTCTCTTGTTGAGGGCACAGAGCTGTGGCAAATCACTCTTCATCCTCCTACCTACATTATCACCATATATCGCTTAAGAGCAAAAAGGCCAGTAATTATTTAGACTTGATCTCACTGTCATAATTATGAGCCTCTGATCTTTTTGGTATTGATTGTCTGGTTTCGTCTTTTTTACCTACTTTTTCCCGTCCCAGAGTCATTGGTTAACACCACTTGACCCAGATATGTGTGCTAATTCGTGTTATTTCAGGGAGCCTCTCTTCCTGTGGGAAACATATACATTCACAATTTCCATTATTTGTTTCAAATAATCCTGATAGAAAATCCTTCCATAATCTGGGTTAACAGAGTTTGAAAGCCATTAAACTGCTATTGGATTTTTTTTTTCTGTTTTGTTTTTGTCTTCCTAGTTTAAGAGTAATGGAAAGAAAAAAAAGTGCAAAAGTAAAGGTTACAGATAGATATTGGAATGATGCTATTACTTTTAACCATGATCAGTGGAATGTCAATTTGTAAGATATAGTATGGTAACTTGAAAATGGTTGTTATATTTGATACTTTTACCAAGAGTGTGGCCTAAATTCCAATTTGTACCTTTCCCAAGTCAAAACTGACCTATGGGAGAAGTTAGAAAGGAAAAGGAAACCTGGGCCTTTCCAAGGAGTGAATCTATCTGGAATGAAAGTACTGTTGAGGGATCCCTGGGTGGCGCAGCGGTTTGGCGCCTGCCTTTGGCCCAGGGCGCGATCCTGGAGACCCGGGATCGAGTCCCACATCGGGCTCCCGGTGCACGGAGCCTGCTTCTCCCTCTGCCTGTGTCTCTGCCTCTCTCTCTCTCTCTCTCTCTCTGTGACTATCATAAATAAATAAAAAATTAAAAAAAATATTAAAAAAAAAAAAGAAAGTACTGTTGAATGTTATTGCACATTTTATGATGACCCCAAAATTCCTTTGTTTACTTTAAAATATAAATGAGCTGTTATTTTACTACCTGGAGCAGTGTGTACATACAACCAGATTACACTGCCCTCTGAAGCTAATTTAGACGATTTTTATAACCAAATGCAGTGGCACTTTGCAATTAGATGATCAGTTGGTTTCTTTCAGTGGTGAGTAAAATACATCAAGGGAAAAATCAAGATAATCCTCCCTGGGAAAAATACAAAGTAAGTTCTTTCTTTAATATTTTGTGCTCTAGTATTTTTATCTTTAAGTATATTTTTTCTTGTCTACTTAGATACTCAAAATTAATTATTAAATGTAAATGGAATGTAAGTATATTGATTAGTTTTTTACTTCCTAGCTAGTAAATCGATATTTACTTGATAAATATGTTTATAGAGAAGAAATCCTTTTATTAACCTTTAACGTTTATTTTTTTTTTTAGTAATCACTATACCTAAGGTGGGGCTCAAACTCACGACCTCGAGACCAAGAGTCACATGCTCTTCCGACTGACACAGCCAGGCACCCTGAGAAGAAATGTTTTTAAATTACTATTCTGGAATTCTATTTATATGTATATATATATTCTATAAACATATTACAGGTGATGTTTAGATGGCATTTTATTTATTTATTTTTGCCTTGAATTTCCTTTTGGAAAGTATTCCCTGCTATATGAAGACGAGTTCTCAGAACTCACCACTGTTTATCAGTCAGGCTTATTTTCTTAAATCATTTATTGAACAATATCTATCAACTGCCTGTTTGCCAGCCATCATAGCAGGTGCTTCAACATAACCAAATCCCTGTTCCTATAGAGTTTCCAGTTTAGTAAGACAGGTAATAAACAAATATATAATGCTGGATAGTGATAAGTACTAAAAAGAAAAGAAATGCAGTAAAGGGGCAAGAGTTCATTGTGTGATTGTGTGTGTGCATG